CATGTTCCTCGAAAGGAACATGGGCAGGAATGTCTGGTTTAAATCCTGTTCTGCAGGAACAGGATTTAAAGTTCTGTTCAGTATCAGTTCTGCAGGTTTTCCTTTAGCCTGTGCAAGCCACATGCATTTAAAGCTTGCACCGTGGCACTGTCATATCTGAAGGAGAATGGGCACTTCAGCAGCCAATATGAGGCAGAGATTTTTATGTTGCTGTAAAGTATTAGAGGTGGTGATAGCTCCATATATCCTTTTCTTTTACCAGAAACTGGCTTATCAGTGATGTGGCAAGCATAGGATAATGAAGACTGAGACATGTTACCACCACTACACTTATCTTAAGCGGAGGGGATAGATCAGCTAGATGCTTGCCTTGAATGTTTACAGGAGATAAACATTTCATCCCTTTGCAGCATGAAGAATATTACCTTTAGGCCCTACCACTAGAAAGCAACTGCTTGACATTTCAGGCATGCAAGGGAGTAGCAATCTTGTAACAACATCCATCTGCCGTTGTAAGCAGGGGTTTGAAACGATCTTGAGACCAGTGTTGTGTCACTCAGTGCTGCCTGGTGCTTCCCTGCTGTGTTTGGTCATTCTCTTACAGCTTGCGACATACTGCTGGATGGAGTGCAGTCCCAGATTACTTTGTGGGTCCGGCTTTTTTTCGTGGAAGGCTGTGGATAGAGCATCAGCCACAGGACACTTTCTTGAAGCTACAGGCAAGTCCTGGTTTTCTTTCCGCCCTATTTTTTCTCGATCAAGATTTTTAAAAAGCTGGTTAGAGAGACACTTGTGTAATAGCTCTGACTGAGCTCTGTCTTGTAGTCTGTAGTTTTCTAGTCTTCCTCTGATCTTGGAGAAAGAGAATTATTTTGAGGGTGTAGAAGTCTTCTCAAGCTAGCAGGTAATTCTGTTCAGTCTGTAGTGGTCCTGATGGGAAAACATGTGCAATACTGACCCTGCAGAGCTGCTAATGAACAGTTAGTCTTTTTTATTGACATACAAATGCTATTTCTTTTCTAGTTGCAGAGGAGTAATGGGCACAAAAAATAAAGGAGGCACTAGTTTAATCCCTACCTCCTCAATGTGATATGGAAAGAGTCACTTCTTTGTAGACATGGCATGAGAGTTAGCGTTCACATCTTCCTTCTGTGGAAGAACGCTGCTCTTGCATAGAACTTAAGATGAGATATTAAGTATTATTAAACTTCCTCCTCCAATTTCATTCCCTTAGAGCCAAGGTTCATGCCAATCATACTGCTTGCTTTTGCATTTACGCTTTGTTGTAAATTATGCTAGTCAGTAGCAATACAGTATTTCTGTCACCTGGGAAATAGGTGAGGGGAGATATTCTATGCTTGGGAAGAAATAAAAGATATGTCTGTTCAAAAGGATGAAGTTTCCTGTACAAGCATGAATCATGAATTGCACATTTTTGAAAGCTTTATCCTTTTAATTGGTACATTAAGGATAACTCCTGTTCAACAGGGCTTACTTAAACGTTCATGGCTTTAGGGAGTTGCACAGGGAAAGCAAGCAGAAAACCTGCAGAAAGTGGCCTGAAAGAATGCAAGTGTGAAAGTAGACTTAGTTTCCTGTGGGGATGCTAACTAGGCAATACAGCTGCATCAATAATTCTGTGTACTTTCTTGATTCTAGGGCTGGGAAAAAGGAGTTGTGTTTGTCAATGGTCAGAACCTGGGCCGCTACTGGAAAATTGGACCTCAGGAAACACTCTACCTTCCCGGCCCCTGGTTATGGAAAGGGAGCAATGAGGTGAGAGGCTTTGGTGGGATTCTCTTTGCTTGTTTGTATTATTAAAGATCCTGCTCTGAGTCATGTCTCAAAGAGCTAGACATACACAGTATATTAATCACCTATCTCTAGCTGAAAACCAGCACAATAGAGAGGAAGGAGACTGTCATCTCCTAAGATCTGTGAAAATTTGGGAAGGTGCTGCTCTAAAGCTGACTATGGCTCTGACAACCATTAAGACATGATGAGGATGGCAGCTAAACTTCAAAGCACTGCATCAAGTTCAAAATCAAGATAAACCTGATACGATGCTGGTTCATTTTCTGCATCATGTGGTACTGAAGAAGAATCACAGTTACTGTTCAGACTCACATTGATTGATCTCTTTAAATGATGCTTCCTTCCCCTGCTGTGATCGTATGCCTTTTCCTCCTAAAAATATTTAAAGTAACTCAGCCTTTGTACGAAGGAACTTTATATATCCCTCTCTTCTGCAGATTGTCATTTTTGAAGAACGCACTGCAGGACGGATAATACAATCTGTCGACATACCTTATTTAGGAAGGACACAGTACGTGGACTGACGAGAGCTTCTTTCCCGTGTTTGGTTCATCTTGAATATTCCTGGTTGCATGTCTGGGGACACGATGGCCCAGGCACTTGGGCATGTTAATTTCCACTAGACCCAGGTAAAGGATTTGCTTTTTGACAGTAAGTTCAGAAGAGAGAATGGGCCCCAAAGGAACCAGAGTCCATTGTTTCATAGATGGATGCGGAAGCTCGTCTCCCTGCACTACTGAGGACCCACAGCTTGGATGGCCACGCATGATGTTCTGGACCACCTGGTGAACATGGGGGAGTAAAAAGGTGCTGGAGGCAGGAGAGAGAGACTAAGAACTGAAGCCATCTGAACTGAAAGCTGAGCTCAGTTCTTCAGTGACTTTAAAAATGTGTTATTACTGGCTTCCTTGTTTTTATAAGTAGATAGGGAGAAAATAGTTGGTGAACATGTGAGTAACCAGGTGTGGAAAACCATTTTGTTGTGCTTCCAGGCAGAATTTAGCAACTCTCTCTGCAAAGAGGCCATTACTTGTTCACTTGTTGGAAGCCAAGTTGGTTGTCAAACGACTTTAATTCGAGCTTTTTTCCCACTAAGGTTTACTACGGAGGTTGTCTCTCTCTCAAAAAGGAAAAAAAAAAAGTTTTAAAAAGTGGAATGTGTTTTGTCCTCTATCAAATACGTCATTATGTTTCAGGCCAGGCAGGAGTGAGAACTTCCAAGGAGGAGGTGCAGGAGGAGAAAAGGACAAGTTAGTCTTCCAGTCAGCCCTCCACCCCTGCTCTCACCGTGAAGCACCTGAAGATGAAATTCCCCCTTGTAAAATGAGCAGAGATCAGATTTTGGTTGGGGAAGAAGTAAAGGGGTTGCATACATAGTTGCAAATGGGCAAGCACATCCATACTTTCTAGTTAAACCTGCTGTGAAATCTTGGGACCTTGGGTCCTGTTTTCTTTTTTCTTTTTGTCCCTCAAAACAGAAACACAGGATTTAGGAAAACATGTTTTTTTAACTCACCAGCTCCGCAGTCACTGAGGAGCTGCCATCTTTTTAGGGAGAGGAAGAGATCAAATTCAAGCTGCGAATCTGTTCAGAATGTCCGAGAAGTCACTCAGCCCCTGCTTTCTGTTCCAGTAACCAGAGGATTCAGGCTATGAGAGAAACACCAAACATGTGCACTGTCTCTGATAATGGAGTTGCGGGGTATTCTGGCTCTTAGAAATGGTAATTTTATTTAACAAATTTAAATACAGCTTGTTTAAAACTGAGAACAGACAGTGCAGCTGTAATACACTCCATCCTGGCCAGAGCTGGTCTTACTGAACATACGTATCTCTGCTCCCGAGGACCACGGTAGCCTCTCTGCAAGTTGGAAGGGCCCAGGCTCGTGTGACCAACTTTGAGGAGAGTGGAGCATATATGCAGGGTTGTGTTCAGGACTCGATCCTTTGCATTTTTCTGAAAGTTATTTCCTTCCAAGGAGGGAAGGTTGCAACCCAGCAGGGACTGGAATTAAGATTAGTGAAACAAAACATGCAGCTAGGAGAGGACATCAGTTGGAAACTATTTAAATGGTATGAAAACTTTGTAGTCCTTCAAAAATGTCTCTTTCCACTCTAGGGTTTGCAGACTGAAGTGAACTTGGAAGGCTAGTACAATAACAGAATAAATCTGCTTGAGTGCAGAGAGCTACTGTTTTAATACAAGATAACAATACCCGTTCCCATAGAACAGCCAGCAGCCAGTAGCATCAAATGTTTTCTACCCAAGTAGCGCTTCAGCCAATGCATCTAAAGGAACATTTTTGTAAAGGCTACGTAGCAAGGCTTCTGTGACTGGGAACTAAAGAATGCAACTTTTCCCCAATGGTTTTGATATACAGTGGGAGAAAATAACTTACAAAAAAATATTTTTTTTTTTAAATATTAAGAAATACACAATGATGTCATTAGGCCAAGGGGGGACTTCTGCACTGTGAAGCTAACAGTCAAATCTATAGCATTTTAATAGTTCTATGTGTTAGGGCTAAAAATAACCAAGTCTATTTCCAGGATTACATTTTCCTTCAATTCAAAGATAAAATTGTGCTTCAGACCTTTTTGAAAGAATTGGGACAGTGGGGTTGATCAAAGGTTTGACAACAACTATGAAGGGGGAGGAGGTAAGTTCTGGGTTTTTTTAAAGGGGCTGGAGGTGGGGAGAAGGGGTATGTTGTACCTCAATTTCTTCCTCAGCAAGTTTGTCAATCTCAAATACAGAGTCAACCAAGGTAGTAGCACCCAGGTTCCTCTTCTGCATTGCTCAGTCCTGTGTCTCTCACTGAGAAGCAAAATACAGTTTCATCAGAGAACACCCTTTCATCAATGCTATCTCAGGTCCTTTGATGTTACAGAACAGGGAAGAGGCAACTAATGTTCTACATAGATAGTTTTTCAACCTACCTCAAGCCAGGTGCTGAAGAAACAGAGCACTAAGCACAGGATGCCCTTTACAAGGGTGCTGCTCTATCCATCAGAAGTTAACTCTTGAACTGCTCCAGCGTGGCTTTTCACGCCAGTAGCTCTGCAGTAGTATGGCATGGCCCTGAAAAAGGGGCTAGGGCTGAAGGATACGTTCCAGTAGAATGGTAAATGCACTAAAACCAGCTTTTATCATTCAATCCCTAGTTTTAAGGAGTTAACTTTATTTTTTAAGAGTGGAAATTTGGCTTTATGTAGGAGCACCCTTCAGAGAATCCCACACCTAATGCTCACATGAACCAAATTAGAGCTAAACAGAACCAAGATCTGAGCCTGGATGAAGTAGTATGGTGTACGGCCACAACAATCTCATTAAAACCCACTTCCAATTATTTTAGCATGGATGAATAGAGAACCACATGCTGTAAACATAACTCCATCCAGGAATACAGAGGTATGTCAGGGTGCCCTCCAAACCATGAAACTAATGAAGGGAAAGGAGAGGGAATACAAAGAGAACAGAGATACTTAATGGGTTTGTTCTAACCTGCCTTGCTTCTCCCCCTCCCCCAAAACCTTCCTGTCTTGTGCAGCGTAATAAACACTGATTAAAGTAGGTTTAAAATTAAGGGCTAAGGTGCCATCTCAGAAGGCAGCTGTCCCCTCCATGAACAGAGAGCTGCTTAGGCTGTTGCACACATAGCCACAAGGTACGTGTGTCTCAGGAAAAACAAGTCATCAGGGGCCAACACACTCCTGTGGGCATTCTCACCCTTGCTTTCAGGTCCTGTAAAACAGCCCCCTCAGTCTAGACTACTGTTCCAGCTGGGCCGTGTCTTCAGTGCATCATGCCCTGCATGCACTTCTCCCAAACCGAGCATCTCACGAGGCAGCTGGTCTTGTACTAAAGTTGATGTCAGTCCTGTATTTTCTGTGCTTTTTCTCCACCTCCAGAGTGTCTGGTTCTGCTCAGAGTCCAGGAGGAAGGGCAGGGGAATCCGGGTAGTTTATGTATGCAGTGTTGCTTGTTTTCAGTACGCTAAAACTCTTGGAAGTCAGCAGAGGTCCTGGCTACTGCACGTCTGGCTGGCTGTATGCTGTGGAGAGGAACCTTGCAGGCTGTGCATGAAGAAATCTTCTGCAAGAGACACAACCAGCGTGTATATTACCCTTTTGCCTCGCTGCAGTTAGCTGCCACCCCTTGGAACTATCCCCAAACCCATCTCAGATTGCAGGTCTGGTGAGTATTGCTGCTAGGCAACTGGGTGTTGGTGAAAAGCAGTTGTGACAGCACTGAAGAGCTATGGCCTCTCTGCAAAGCTGCTATATATAGCACAGATAATATGCAGTGCAGGCTTTCCTCTGCTGTCCTGCCAATGGGCCGCAAAGGCAGGCCACTGCAGCAGGCAGGGCTCCATCCAGTTAGCCTGAGGGAATGTGCTATAAGAGAGCTCATTACTGTTAAAAATACACTGCTGCTGAGCAAATCTACCCCTTTGCTGCTTTTACTTCTCTCTATTCGGGAGGAAAAGAGAACAAGCAGCAACCTTCTCTCCCCTCCAGGCCTGGTTCTACACTCCAGTTAAAGGGAGTTGTGACTTTTTTTCCCCCATAATGTGATTTTTTTCCCCATAATGATGAAGAGCAGCAACATAGTCTGGATGCAGATACAAGCAAATAGCCCATCCTTCAGTCTAGCAAACCAACTGCAGAGTGCACTCTAGAAATACGGAAGACTAAACGCACCAGGATGCTCAGGTAATTAAAGGTGAGAAGCCAGGGCATGAACAAATGAGCAGGAAGTCAGCCGTCAATGTGCGTGTTCCACAGAAGACGACACTACGTGCTCACCTTAGGTAAACAAATACCTCATGTGGGGTTTAATCCACACCCTCCCTTACTTGTCACTGACTTTGTGTGGCTCTGATGTGGATATAAATTAAACTCTTCCCTCAGTGAAAGCTTCTGCCTGACTTAAAAATGCTTTCACTGATATTGCCTTAGCTTTCCTCAGGTGTTTGCAGGTGGATGAAGCCACAGCCTTCAGCCTTGTGCTTTAGCTATTTCAGTGCAGTTAATAAGGCAATCTTCCTGTTTAGACACGGGTTTGTTTTTTTAACAATGTAACTTCTGCCTAAAGTCTCACTCCCTGGATTTCTCTTCTGCCCCCCAACCTCTCACCAGGTATTTCCCCTTTAGCAGCTTGTCTTAAAGATAAAAAAAGAGAGATTAACTAACGGTCTCAAGAAGTTTTGCAGTAAGGGAACGTCAGAGATGTGAAAAATGGAAATTAAAAAGCAGATTTAAAAGAGCTCTTGTCTTTTTCCTGTCATTGTCTAGTATTTTCCTTTTTTACTGTTGCTTCTCATTACTGTTCAAAAATGTGAACTCTTACCAGGTGTTGGTCTCCGCTCAGCCATGCAGTCAGATTTCCACATTGGGATCTGTGAATCCTTTCTTCCCCTCATTCACCAGCACAGGCTTTTCTGTCCTCGTGTGCCAGACTAAAATCTGAAGAAGCCAACAGCAGTCATTAGCTGCATCTCTTCACTGCACTAACAAATATTCTTGCACATTAAATCAATAGTGCAATTTAACCATCTACCCTGGAGCCTAATGGTGCATTCACAGCTGAAAGAAGGTTTGCATAAAACTTCATTTAGGCAGGCCTACTGCTATCCAAAATGCACAGCGCACAGAAATTACCCATTTTACAGTGTACTGTCTTGGGACATTAACCTGCTCCTTCCATGTAGTTATCAACCATCTTCCTCGAAAGGCTCATCAACCTTTTCAATGATGTAAGGCAGTTCCTTCATAACCAGAGAATCACATGCATGTTTCCCCATAGACCAAGTTCCTTACTCTGGTTCTTGGTTATCATGTTACTACATCCTTGGCCAGTGTGGAGTTATTTGCTAGGCTCAGAGTGGAAATGCAAATTCTTGCCACTTCAGGTCACATTGTGACTCGTGCATTAGAGGGAAGAGGCAGTTATACTGAGTATCACCAGCTGCTTCAGTCGTCACCATTGCCTTTGGTTGTGTGAAGTATTAAAATGGATTTTTCAGTGCATCTCTGAAAATCCATTATTGGAGGGAAGACATTAGTCTGCTCTCTAACCTCACTATCACTTCATTTCAACTTTTAAATTCTTCTAAGACCTTAAAAAGATGTGAGAGTGACACTGATCTGAGAAGTACTTGCTGCTGCTCCGGCTCTCTGTTGCAACCTCTGCTGTCTCAGAGCTGCAAGATGCAGGAACTAGTTACAGAACACTCCCTTCCTCCCACCTGCTCTGGGCTGTACACAGCCCTTTCATAACCCAGCAAGAGTCTACCGTATCACCTCAAAAGCCCCATACATATTTCCTTTGAAATGCTGGCCCCACACTGCCATCCACTATTCTGCACCAGGTACAATACATTGCATCCCTTTAAAGCCCCTCTCCAACTTGCTTAAAACAGAACTGAAGCTTCTAGTAAAAGCTTCCCTCAGTCTTAGCAGCAAAGTTTAAAGATCAACATCTGTGGAGGAGTACTGGAAAAAATATAAATTGAAGAGGTGGTCTAACATTTTTGGAGGCAGGGGGGAGTATTATAGGTAAATAGTTTCTACTAGCTGTGCTATACTGCTGGCACAGACAGTTCTGGAAGCTGTTTAAAATACTCTCCCTTCACTAGACTCAATTATACTTATTGCTTTGCTCCTAGAACCTGGATTGCTGGGAGCAGCTTTAACGCTTCAGAGCTACAGTTTCCTACTTCCCTTCACCTGTTCACACTGGTATTTCCTACTTTGCGGGGGTTTCCCTCTTGTTGCTATGACAATACTCTGCACATTTAATCCAAGCATCTGCAAACCATTTCATACCCAGTCCCTGCTTTTCTGAAAAACGAGGGCACGTTCTGTTTCTAAAGGATGAAGAAAGCACTTTTCAAACCCTTCTGGTTAAACAGGAGCACCCCCACCTTCCCAAGAAGCTGTTTAACCAAATTTGTCTCTGATGTGAGCAGTCACCTCCTGTGTGGGGCTTAAATCTTGCCTGCTAATAATAAGGCAGTAGAGACCAACTGCTGCCTGGAGTCGGTCCAAAAAACCATTTCATCGCTCCCCCACAACCACTTCAGAGCCTGCTCATCAAAATTAGCCTTTATTATAGTCCTGCTCACCCACTGCAGCAACGCTGCTGCAATTACTGCGTTAACTTTCCTATAAAAAGGCAAAACCAAACAGGTCTGTACAAGTGGCTCTCAGTGCTATGCAAGCATCACCTACGGGCTCCTCATCCAACAAACAGAATGGATAAACCTTAATGCAGTCCAGGTGCTAGAAAAATCTTGTAGCCGAGTCTCCTTTCCAGCGGAGGCAGGTAAGAGCTCCCTCCACTTCTGACACATAAACACTCAACCCTGCTGATGGCCAAGGGCTGCACTCTGCCAGGAACGGGACTCACACTTAAACAGCTCTAACCACATACTCCATAAACAGAAGACCACAACTACACATTATTAGCTTCTCTTTAAACTGGATCCCACTTTTGCATTATTAAAGCCAAGTGCCAAAAAAGACAGTTATATTAAATTAACTAAAATGGACCAATTTTCAGAGTTTGAGGCTTGATACAGCAGCTTCTACCATTTTTCATGCTGTGTTCTTTAATGTGGGAGGGAGATCACTGTTTAGTACAGAAACACCTGCTTTTCCTCTCAGCCAATTGCTTGATTTTTTCCACAAGCAGTGTGTTTGTTTTATGCCTCAGGGAAGCTCTGGCTTGTGCAAAAAGTACAGCTTGCAAGGGAGTAAACAGTGAGGGGGACCAAGTATCTGACTTCCCCTGAACAGTGGTTTCATACAGCTCACCTGAGGAGTCCCCTTTAAAAATCTCTACTACTGCAAAATGCTTCCAATCATTTACAGCTTTGCCATTCAGAATCAGAGGACTCAAAACAGATCTAAGAGATTACAAGGATTCATCTCCGTAGCAGCCTTCTTCATTGCCTTCTAACAGGAAATTAAAAAGCAAACGGGCAAGTCCACCTCCAATTTGAGGGGGTCACAGGATTTCAAGCACGCAGACCCTCTGTGGAGGGTTTCAGTAATTGTTATTTGAAATGGAGACTATAGAATGTGAAGAAAAAGAGACACCAAGCTGAAACAACAGATTTGCTTCCTCTCAGCTTGTGCTAAACCAAATTTCTGCACGCTTTCTTAGGCATTGTGGAGGCCCTCTTCTCCCAAGAGCACATCCATGGGTATAAAAAATAAAGATTGCTTCTCCATTCTCTTGCTTTTCTCATATGTCGAGAGAATTGTGGCCACTGCTATCAAATAAGCCAGAGTTCAAACAGTAATCTTCAACTGTGCAATTACACCAACTTGAAGATTTGTGCTTTGTGATGGGTATTATAGGCAAAACATACAAGACCACAAGAGAAGAAAGGGTTACAGCGGTCTGATTTAAGCTATTGCAGCTGCAGCACAGATCTGAAGGTCCACCGTGGAGCAGTGCAGGCAGACAGTGCTGCAAAACCCAAACTACTCTGATGTAAATCACAGCTTTCAGCTGTGGTACAGGGGATGGCATTGGCAGAGCAGTTCTGGTGACTAATCAGGACAAGACAAGGCCAAAAGAACCCTCCAAGTTCTGCGTGTCTGTCGTAAAAATCAACAGCTCGAGCACTGGTGTCTTCACTGGTGTGCGTGTGAAGCTTAACCAACAAAGTGCTGTCACATAGCAGCCAGGACACAGAACGCTCACCGCAAACCACTGGTCACAAACACACACGAAAAGAGGAGCCCAGTCTCAGGAACAATCTAACCGAAAAGAGGACAGATCTGCTCCATCCGTACCCTGCTGCTCAGCCACTGAAAGGCAAAGAAAACAAAGAGCTCGTGAAGCCGATTCCCCTGCCTGCTGTATGTAGCACCACAGAATAAAATCAGGAGGAAGCGAAGTACTCCTTTTCAAGCCTTCTTGCCTTAGGCTGACGTTTACCCTCTCTTCTGCCCATTCTGAGCCAGTTTTAGCTATTTTAGATCTGTGACATCACGAAGCAGCCGGCTCTGGTCTCCTCTTGCTGTGCAATTTCCTGGCTGCTGCTGGGCCCAAAGGCTTGGTCTCCTCCATATGCACAAGGAGTTATTCCCCTCCCAGAGCTAGTTCCAAGACCCACAGTAGCCACAGTGTTGGTGTGTGGTTCAGGTACTGCCGGGAGAGCTCTCTTTGCTCTCTGTTCTCTAGCCTGTGTCTGACAGCAACTGGTTATACCGGCTGCGGCATTTAACAGTGCCCACATGCACCCACCCTGCCTCTTAAGGCTCAGAGAGAGCCATTCCTGGTCCAGCGCAAAGCTGCCAGCCGATTCCCTTTCACAATATCCACGTAAACACTGAGCTGCTAACCCACAGATTAAATCTCAGATCTGACTCAGCCAAGAGATAAGGAGAGAGGAGGAATTACTACTTTTAGCCACCACTTCAATCCCAGTGAATTGCTACCGAGACCACCCAAGTGCACAAAAGCCTGTCTCACCCAACAAAACATACCTATGCCTACCTCCCTGGCGAAATAAGCGGCTCCAGAAGCAGCCTCATTTCCAATGACCTTGTGTTTTGTGCTCTGTCCTCTTGTGCCAGCCCGAGCTGCAGCTTTTTCAATAGCTGGGGCCACTCAAAGTCTCTCTCCTTTAAGGGCTCCCCGATTGAGCACACTGCAGCATGTTTCCTCAGGTGTTAATAGAAAATGGGGAGCAGAATATGTCCCAGTTACATCAACCTTATGGGAATACAGAATCTCAGACTTCTATCCTGTGTCAGTGGACTGAAGAGAGTATGGCTTGCTTTGGGGGTGTGTGTGGGGAAATACAGAAGCAGCAGAACACAGAAATACGTAGCACGCTTGCAAAGCCTTGTTTCCTTACAACTCCAGTATAAACCTACCCTTCCCTCCTGATAAGGAGGGATAACTCTCTCCTTTCTCCTCAGCAATTAACATTGACTTCCTTAATTCTCTCCTTCATTTTGGGCAGTTCCCAAATCAAAGAAAATAAGCAGGATATATGTCTTTGGCCAAAGCTTAAGCCTTTTACAGGAGTGTGCATTTGTGGGCTGAATTCTGATAAATATTACAAATACCAGCACTGCACACAGGGAAGGCAGTACTTTTGGAGAACAGATGTCTATGCTTATCTTACATACTTCTCTGATCCCTCCTTAACGACTGTATCTGAGCACATCATAATTTTTAATGTAAATCTCACTGCAAAGCAGGAGTATGGTTATGCTTAACAGAAGCAAACCATGACAACTGCTGGGAGCACACTAGCACAATGAGAAAGAAGTCTGTGCTTTGATCTCGGGCCAAGAGGACCCCAAACCATAGCCTACTTTTGTCCTTCTCTGCTGCTTGTCTGGACTCTCCTCCTCGTCAAACGGGTGAGCAAAACAGCAATTGGGAAATGGAGGCTGCTGGCATCAGCTAAAAGCAGAAAGGCAAAGCTCAACCTGCAAAGCTGCACTCAGAGTTTGCCAGGAGCAGACAGCATTCAGTTCACAACAAGGACCCTTGTAAGATCCCCACAGCCTAGCCAAAAAAAGAAATGCAGTCTGCTTCAAATCCTGGCCAGCAATTCCTGCTTCCTCTCCACCTCTGACCTGCAGCTCTTGTGTGACAACACTGACACGGCAGCCTGTCTGACAGCATCATTTTTTTCCTCCTGCCTGGAAACAACCTTTTCCTTCCTCTCCTTCCTCCATGTGTTCCTCCACAATCGTCATTTCCTATCCCCAGCCTTTTAACACAGCTTCTTTCCAATAGTTATTTACAGCAGGGACAATATACCAAAGATTGCATAACTGGCCATGGCATAAACACCCCTAATCTTCTGTACACCAGACTAAAAGCAACCCGTGCATCTCCCTTGGCCTGTTGGAAACACACTAATTTGCAGCCAGTGCTTTCTTGTTAGCTAGCAGGGCACGCAGTGCCCAAGAACAGAGAACTAATTTTAATCCAATCTCTTTTCCCACCCTTGGGAGACCATCTGTGTTATTTATTCCGGTGCTGGACAGCCATAACCACAGACATGTAGATTTAAAAAATGAGGCACAGCAGGTATCAGATAATAAACAAAGTTGCTCCTCCCCCTCAGCTCCTCTTCCTTATTCCTGGACACCTTGCCTGAGCGCTGCTAAACATTGAGTTCCCTGTTTTTTCCGCAGCTGGGGGCTGTGGAGCAGTGCAGATGGAAAGCAGAGACAAAAGGTATGATTCAAAATTTTTTCCTATCCCAAAAAGGGATGGAGACCTGGATCCAACACTGGGTCTTTTGGCAGTAACAGCTTATTTGCAAAAAAAGAATAATCCTCCTGGGATAATTAAGCAATAAAGACTCCCTAAATCAGACTGGCTGGTGCCTATTACAGACAAAGGCATGAGAGTGCTACACAGGGGACTGTAATCTCAGAGGGACCCCCTCCACACCTGCGGTGCTCAGTGGACGCACTCACAAAGCTTTCAAAAGCACTTGACAGCACCTCCATTGCTGATGTGCTATGATTGATGCCTGTCACACTAACCAACATTGTCTCATTGTATCTCGCACGTTCCCCTGTCATTCCAGATAGATATCCATCTGTTGTTTCTCATCTTAGACTGGGAAGTCTTTAGGGCAAGAACCGTCATTGTGTTCTGAGTTTCTGTGTTATTTAGCACGGAGGGGTCCTGCTCCATGACCTGGTGGCTCCTAGACAATGTGTACAGTCAAATAATTAGTAGTATTTGACAGCAGTAAAATCCCCCCCCCAACTGAAGCTTTATGGAAGCCTCCTAGGGCTCAGAGCAATATCCCAGGCATTAAAACATTTCTACACATCTCCGGCACAGAAAGATCCAGGTTATTGTGGACAACTACAGCGATATTGCATAGATGTCAAGAGGGAGAAGGCAACTTTGCAATAAGGCAGCGATTGTGTGAACAGTCTTTCCCTGCAGCCAGGAAACACCATGGCTGGTACTCCTGGGTTACAGTTCGGATGGGTTCCAGAGGGCCAAATCTCATATGATGCTGGCTTATCACAGGAGTACCAGTACTCGAAAGCTCCCCTCAGGAATTTACATAAAGCAACTGACATACATTTCACCTATGGAGTGCCCTGCCCCAGGGGATTAGCAAGGCCACAGATAAGCCCATCTTGAAAATAATATTTTCTAGAGGTAATATAAGAAAGAGGAACAGTTAGAGGGGAGAGAAGACTCCATATTTCAAGGCCTATGGCAACCGCTAGCAGCCTGCAACCAAAAAAGATAACTGCCTTCTACACATTTGAATACATAATCGCCCGTTCCCAGCTCCCTTGCAACGGGGGTGTGCTCTCTTCAAATGCAGAGGACAAGTAACTGAATGATGGGGCTGAATGGGTTTTCTCCTACCTCTGGATCCTTACAGCCCACGTATGAGAAAGAGACCATACCTTAGTGCAATTGGCAGCTTTCGGCTCAAGGTCATTCAAGGTCACTAGTTCCCGGAGCAGACTGCTCTCTTGGTAGCCTCCCTTCACTCCTCGCAGTTTGAAGTAAGCCTGAGATCGCTGGAGAATCAGTCTGAGGTTCACAGCAAACCCCGCCATGTCTATAGCAAAGGGGCGATGGGGGTCAAACACAGTTTTCCAGCCATAGACCTTCCCTGCAGCGTTCACTTTGGGTGACTCATAGCGCAAGCCACCGACGAAGGCTACTGGCCACACTGACACTTTTCTGGTGCTGCGCATCTGGAGGCAAGGAAAGAGAAGGGTATGGTGGATGCACACAGAAGGATCAGCTGCATGCAACTTCCAATACACAAACCAGCACCCCACCTTGCTCACTGTCCTGCAGGAGACGCATGCCCCTGAGCTTCAGCACAAACCCTAGAGCTAAGGGCCTGGGTTAGGTTCCCAGGCACCCTCTGTGGCCACAGAGCTCATTACTCACCTGTACAAGGATGAACACCCTGGCTCTGGAGAAGCAAAATGCTTTGGAAAGTGGCAACTAACAATAGCAATAGTAATGGATAGCCATGGAACCAAGCATGAGTTCAGCACTAAAAACAAAGCTGCCAATAATAAATATAACTGAGATTCAGAGTGTTTTTTTGTCCAAAGGCCTTTAGAGCTGTGGGGCATCAGTCCTCCACATGGACAGCTGGGGAAACCAGGACACAGAGGAGGGAAGCACCTTGTCCAAGGCCACCTGGAAATGCAGGAATGGCCTATCTAGGAAGAAAGGTGCTTTCTCTGAAAGCTAAGGAGTTTGAGCTGCAATCTCAACCTATGAGCCACAGTAAGGCTAAAAGCATCTTTAGAGTGAGGCACTGCAGCTGTAGCCCACAACCTCAGGGACAGCTGAGAAGCGCAGCCTCTCCAGAAACTCCCAGCGCGCAGGACGGTGCTTTGTAGCTGCTCCTGCTACCCAGCGGAACAACACTGCAACACTGGATGCCTCTACTCCCTGTAGAGTCAACAGAAATAGATAGGAGCCATCAGGGGACACTTCAGATGCCTGCACTTGTCAATGCAGATGATTTGAATGCCAGTCTGCCCGCTCACCCTCCCAGAGCCCTGTCCTGCTCTGCTGGCAGGCTCGGCCTCGCGTTCTGCTCTCAGCCCGGTCTCTTAGATCAGGGATCTCCCAGAGCTAATCTCATCACTGCTAATTACTGCAAACGAGACCAGAAGAGCTCTGGCACTTGCCCTTCTGCATTATACACATGCTAACAGCAGCCCCTGTCCACAGGGAACAATAGTGTGTGTCTTCTGCATTTCACAGCACATTTCATTGGCTCCATGTGACCTTAACTGCAGCTACAGATCAGAGAGGAGAAGCCTCTAAGAGCAAAGCACATAGGTGAAGGAAGGAACCCTTTCTGCTTTATTAATGTGTGGTGTCTGTCTCAGGATGCTGCCAGAGCCAGCCTCAAAGGGGACTGTGGAAGAAAGACATTCAGTCTGAATTTGCTTTCAGCTTTAAAAGCGTGTATATTCCTGTGGCTATCCAAGCTAAAGTGAAAGCCATCAGGGAGGGGAAAGGGAGCATGTATGGAGCAAATAAATAGGAGATCCCTGGTATGAAAACTGGCAACTGGTGGGGAAGGAGGCAATCCTCCTTTCTTGTCCCTTGCTGCAAGAGCTCGGCCTCAGGAAAGCAAGGGAACAAGTAATTTCTGAGCTGGAAGCCAGGTGAGGTACAGTGTACCTGGCACTGTGAGACCATTGCATACCTGCAGACAGGGAAAGGCTCAGGAGTTCATTTAGAGCCCCAGTAGGAGTGGAACAAACAGCAAAGGTGGGAAAGCACGTGGGAACCTTCCCCTACTCAAGCCCGACAAGACTGTCAGGACATGCTGAAATTCAGCCTGCCATCACAGTTCCTGGAGCTGCAAACTTCCAGGCTAAGATCTCAGCCCCATCGTCTACTTACAACAGCATGAGAGACCATCCGTCCCCTGATGCTGCAAGAGGAAGAGCTCCAGAGGGGAGTGCTGCACACATCTCCCAGCAGAGAGACAGCCCTCTCCAAGGCAGCGCGCGAAGGGCTCCGCTTTTCTGGGAGGAGAAGCAAGCACTGACAAACGCATGCTCCTTGCGTGTGCGGCAACCCAGAGACAACCACATAGAGCATCTCTGAACAAGATGTCCTGCAAGCCTATGAGTGCTGACACCATTCAGGCATAACTCTGAAAGGGCACTGCTACCTCAGCTGGGGATCTGTGCAGAGCAGGCACCAGCTTCTTGACAGCTACAGAATTTAACCAGTGGACACTCTGGGATGAGAGCAAACAAATGCAAACAGCAAGCAAGGAAGAGAAACCCCATGGACTCCTCAAACAAGAACAAACATGAATTAACAGACAGCCAAGTGCAATACATAGGGGTGATGGAGAAGAAAAGCGGATAACATCAGATCAGGAACCAGTTGGAAATCTCCTCCACAGTGGGGCATGGAAGGAGGATGGCCAAGGTCTCTTCTGCTAGGCACGTGCTTCTGCACAGGCATGTCGGGCAGCAGGCAATGTTCCAACCCTAACAAGGCTCCCCATAGGGGAAGGCAGCTCCTCATTAGCTTCCTTTACAGTACAAACTATCTGCCTCCTGACCACATGCCACAGGATAAACTGGGGTTCCCGTTACTTTGCACAGGATGCCTTTGACACCGGGAAACACACATTTTGCAGCGCAGTAACCAAGCCCCAGAGAAAACTTCAGGACAGCTGCAGTGGGACCACTATACAGACAAGACTGATCCAGAGCTCAGGAGAGGATGTACACAGCATCTCCTCGGCTCAGTACACAGCATCTTTTATACCCCACGTGCTAATCCGCTGTGTTCAGCCAGTTGGGAGCCCCCCAGCAGGGTCTTACCTCCTCAAAGAGCTCCAGGCTGTAGGTGTTATCATCATCGGCAAAGTAAACAATCCCAGGCTGGCTGTTATTTTTGTTAAAGGTCTCTCTCAGCCATCTCAGGGCAAGGTTCCTCTGCATGGTCCCCCGGGGAATGCGGGGATCCCTCATGTCTCCCCGCAGCTTGTAGTTGCGGGGTGTCTCCACATTCAGGTGGGTATAGTTCAGTCCCGTGTCCCGCAGCAGCCGGGTGATGAGAGGCGTGCGCCGCTGTGAGTCCTCCACCAGGATCCAGTGCAGGTTTGGCACGTGCAGGAGTGTGTTGGCCAGGCGCGTCAGCTCTGCCTTCTGTACGGGCCGGCTGTAGGTGGGTGTAATGACGTGGATGGTGGGAAGGGTGTCTGACCACGGGGGTGGGCGGGTATAAACATATTCTGTCCTCACCACCTCCACAATGTCCCGGTCCGACAAGCAGTATTCCTTGGAGTCCAAGCCTGCAGCGAGATCACGCCGGGAGTCACCACCATCATCTGAGCAAGGGTATGAGAGAGAAGAAAAAGCCGCATGGACTCAGTCCTGCAACACCCCCCGAGTGAGCCAGCAGGCTGCTTGCTAATAGCAGGTCACCCTCATGGTTTCAGAGGAAAGGAAACAAGCTCGGATGGAGGCTTTAATAAATAAGTACACAAATAAATAAAGGAATCAGGGACAAACACACATGAGAAAAGAAGTTCCTGCTGTTAGAAAACCAGCACCAAACAAGGCCTGAGAGCCCAGGACAATGCTGCAGCTGAGTGCTCAGAATAAGCAACTTCGAAAGGCACCCAGAAGAGACAGGCTTGTACAGCAATTGGATCTAGGTAAAGAAAATAGCAACATGGATTGACGAGCCGTCATTCCTGAAGAGTTCCAGTGCTCTGGGCACCACGCTCGGTGGGACACGACTCATGGCTCTGCACTCAGGCACTGGAGCACCTGGATTGGGAGGCAGGGAACTAACTGGTGGAAAATACCGAGTCAGTGAAGATCCCCCAGCAGCATCGTCTGGCCAGGATACTGTAGTACCCTACTGCTCTCCTGACAGGCCTGCGATGGGGCACAGAGAAGTGGGGAAAGACACACTTCAAATCCAGAAATGGAGAGTAGAAATTAAAGCCTGTAATTGCAGGTTTTTTCCTGCAGAGACTTTCACCTGCCTCTGACTAACCTCTCCTCAAAAAGACCCTACCAATCTCTGAACATAGCAGCCCATTCAGTAGTGTGGATGTGAACAATGAGCAGCATATATATAGGATACACTGATCCAAACATATAAAATCCTTGCAAAGAGAGACTTGTTCATGATCAGCTCAAGGGAAAAAAAATGTTCATGCACCTGTCACTTTTCCAGGGTGTGACTTTCACACTTTTGTACCACCGTAGACCA